CTATATGTTTATTATTATCTTTATTCTTTTTATTATATGTATCTTTTTTATACTTATACACTTCTTATTATATATCTTACTATATTATCTTTACTTCTATTATATATGTTCCTATTTATACTTATGTCCTACTTATACTACTTATACTACTTATACTACTTATACACCCTTATGTATATGTATGTACACCTTATTATGTCTTATTCCTATTCATTTTCTTACTCTTTTCACTTTCTATATCCAAGCATTCGTGCCCGAGTGGTCTAAGGGGGCCGTCTCAAGAACGGCTATCGCAAGATGCGTGGGTTCGAACCCCACCGGATGCATTCTTTTATCTCCTCCTTATATACTCTCTATTATCCTATTATCCTATTATCCTTATTATCTCTCTTTTCTATCCTATATCTCTCATTTCTTCTATCTCTATTATTACCTTAGGGGATGTAGCTCATTTGGTAGAGCTTTCGCTTCGCATGCGAAGGGCAAGGGGATCGATACCCCTCATCTCCATTATTATCTAGATATCCTTTATTACTTCTACTTATATATCTATATATCTATATATCTATATATCTTTATATGTTTATATGTTTATATCTTTATATCTTTATATCTTTATATCTTTATATCCCTTTCTTCTTATGTATACCTCTATCTATTTTATTATCTATATTATTCTTTATGTCTATACCTATATATGACTACTTGACTATACTATGTTCTTATATTCTATACTTATACTACCTACACTTTATCTTATTATCACTTTATTACTTTATTACTTTATTACTTTATTACTTTATTACTTTATCACTTTATCACTTTATCTTTACTACTTCTTCTATACCTATATACTTCTATACTTCTATACTATATGTGTGTATCTTATACTTTGACTTATACCTTAATACTTTTATACTTTTATACTTTTATACCTTTATACCTTTATACCTTTATACCTTTGTATCTTTATAGACTTCTTTATTTCTGTATTTATATATCAAAGCATTCGTGCCCGAGTGGTCTAAGGGGGCCGATTTAAGCTCGGCTATCGCAAGATGCGTGGGTTCGAACCCCACCGGATGCATTCTTTTTATACACTTCTTATATATTCTCTATTATTCTATTATACTTATCTATATATATCTATATGTTTATTATTATCTTTATTCTTTTTATTATATGTATCTTTTTTATACTTATACACTTCTTATTATATATCTTACTATATTTCTTTACTC